CGCGGTAGTCTCCGTCCCCTTTTTTACATTTTTTATTAAACGTGTAAAGAATTTACAAATACAAATACAACCATAGGATCAGAAATAAATGCACCAAAGATTCCCCTTCAGCCAAACAAAAAACACACATATCATCCTGCTCATGCTTAAATTTAGAGAGCACTAATGTAATGGAAAATACTTATGAACAATTTTAAACGATATATCTTTAACTTTATTTGTAATACAATATCTAGCAGGAGTTATCCAAACTAATTTCCAATTTATATTTTCTAACATTACATTCCAAAAAGATAAACAAGGATGGACAAAAAATGGGGTTTACAAATATTTCTTATATGCGTATTATTACATTTCTTATCCTTTATTTCCACACCATCCAAGAATAAATCAGTTTTAAGACCAGAAAGGAAGTCAGTCCTAATAGCGCTTTGATTTGTTTTTAACAACTTCACTACACCTTCCGGAATGGCATCAAAAAAAATTGCATATTCCTTAGGGCTAACAGGGAACTGAAATCTCTCCAGGAATTCAGGATAAGTAAACAATCTACCGTCTTCATTCAACAGTTGAGCCACTAAATACATTTTGTTGTTATACCAAGTCTGTAAAAAAAAAGCCTTTATTTTTATACTTAATGTCTTTATTATTCCAAATATAATATGTATGTGGTGAAAAATTGTTTGTATAATAAAGTCCAGCAGCCATATCACCCTGCAACTCACAACTGGCAACCCACTGAAGCTAAGCAGGTGTGAGCCTGGTCAGTACCTGGATAAGAAACCTCCTGGGAAAAACTAAGGTTGCTGCTGGAAGAGGTGTTAGTGGGGCCAGTAGGGGATGCTCACCCTGTGGTCCATGTGGTTCCTAATGCCCCAGTATAGTGATGGGAACGCTATACTATAAATAGGTGCCGTCCTTTGGATGAGATGTAAAACTGAGGTCCTGACTCATTAAAAATCCCAGGTCGTTTCTTGAAAAGAGTAGGGGTGTAACCCTGGTGTCCTGGCCAAATTTCCCATTGGCACTTACCAATCATGGCCTCCTAATAATCCCCATCTATGAATCGGCTTCATTACTCTCTGCTCTTCTCCCCACTAATAGCTGATCTGTGGTGGATGCTGCAAATTGGTGGTGGTGGAGGGGAGACCCCCATTACCTGTAAAGTGCTTTGAGTGGAGTGTCCAGAAAAGTGCTATATAAGTGTAAGCAATTATTATTAATTAATATAATAACACCTGCTTATGAAAAATTAGATAGTTTAATTGGGATTTTTTTATATCAAAGTTACATTTTAATGTTTAATATCCCCAACATTCTGAAAAATCATGTTTGGAATAAGATTCCAAATTGTATTTATTATTAATTTATTTCCTAATCCAATTAATTTAAAATGTTACATTTGACATATAAAAGTCTTAACATTCCTGCCACCCTGATTTTTAGGTTTACTCAGGAGGTATATTCTAACATAATGAGGTTTATTTTTCCAAATAAAGTTATATAATAGTTTGTCAAAATCATCAATAAGATGTGAAGGAACATTCAGTGAAAGCGAAGCATACACAAAGCGAGAGATACCCTCTGCTTTCGACTGTAGAATGCAACCTGCTAACGATAGGTTCCTCATTAACCAAGACTGGAATCTTTTTTTAGTTTTATCTAAAATAGGTGTAAAGTTCAATTTACATCTTTCACCTTGGTCTTTACAGATTATAATACCCAGATAATTAACCACTTTCTTTACAGGTACAGTATATTCATTATTGCAACTAAATTAGAATCCTTAAGAGAAAACATATCACACTTGTCAATATTCAAAGACAGTCCTGAGACTGATGAGAACACATTTAAAACCTTAATTGCTTTAGAGATCTATTCACTATTCTTAAGAAAAATAGCATTCTCCGTCCCTTTGAAAAGTTTCAGGAGGCGAGATGACATCAGACGATTGCCTGGGAACAGCAGTAATGAGTAACCAAGGCGCGGATAGGAGCGATATACCTCTTTCACGTTAGAAGAAAAACTATTACAAGACTTGAATTAGACATACTAGAGAACAACTAGAAGACCGGGAATATTAAATTCCTGGAATGATGTACAAAAACTCCAATCTGTGATTATATTTTATTTTGCAGTTTACATTAGTGGTTTCCACCAGGTCACGTGATGCTGAGAACTCTCGGGGTGCTCTTTGCTAATCTAGATACTAGTTATAAATGCTTATATTACTTATGACTTCAGCTAGTTTATTTAAGCTTCTAAAGTGGCTTCTGTACTGGCATGATGTCTTATATGAGGTAAAAATATGACACATCTGATAACTTAATTAAATTTTATTGAAAGGTTCACACACAGCCAAGAAATTAGTACATTGTGTTTCTGTAATTTGTAGTTGAAATTATTTCTTTTAAATGCTGGTGATTATCCCCCCACTCCCCCCTCACAAAAAATGTCAAAAGTGTAACAAAAAGTAAGAAAGCGACACGATAAGGAACAAGGCTGAAAGACAACAGACTAAACATAGGCTTTAGAAACTTCGGAAGGTTGGGAGGTCTTGTAGATCTTCTGGGCATTTTGACCTGCAATTGAGTAGTCATATCCCCTGCAGGAACACAACACAAGACAAAACCAGTGCTTGAGACACAAGTAAACTCCGCAATAGTAACAGCACTTTATAAAGCATTCAAACACATAAAGAAAACACAGGCACTATTAAATAGGTTAGTGGAAAAATCAACCTGGGACATATCATAACATTCACATGTCTCGTAAATAACCTGGAATTAATTGAATACATGGCTTGCTAAATTCAGCTAAATTTAAATAAAGTAAAATTTAGCCAGGACATTAGGGTTTGTACTTTACAAACAGTGCCCTGGGATCTTTAATGACCAAGCAGTCAGGGCCTTGGTTTAACATATCCAGCAGACATATCACCCTGCAACTCACAACTAGCAACCCACTGAAGCTAAGCAGGTGTGAGCCTGGTCAGTACCTGGACGGGAGACCTCCTGGGAAAAACTAAGGTTGCTGCTGGAAGAAGTGTTAGTGGGGCCAGCAGGCCTGTGGTCCATGTGGGTCCTAATGCCCCAGTATAGTGACAGGGACACTATACTGTTAACAGCCCTGTCCTTCGGATGGTGTCCTGGCCAAATTTCTCATTGGCCCTTACCAATCATGGCCTCCTAATCTATGAACTGGCTCCATCACTCTGCTCTCCTCCCCACTGATAGCTGATGTGAGGTGAACGTTCTGGCGCACTATGGCTGCTGTCGCATCATCCAGGTGGATGCTGCACATTGGTGGTGGTGGAGGGGAGTCCCCATTACCTGTAAAGCGCTTTGAGTGGAGTGTCCAGAAAAGTACTCTATAAGTGTAAGCAATTATTATTATTATAATTATAACATCCCAACTTAAGGACAGTGACTCCTACAGCACTGTATCCAAAATCATCGTCCTGTAGCATTGGGTTGGAAAATTTGATCCAGAAAGAGGAGTGCTGGTACCACCTACTGGTCCTAACAGTTACAGCAGCAACCTAGTAATCCTTGGAGGTCAACACCCATGTACCAACCACACCCAGTCTTGCTGAGCTTCTGTAATCTTACAAGATCACACCTCAAGGTAGTAAAAGTGGTGCAGACGATACATCTGTAGGATTTGATGGCCTGCGTTGTTATAGGCCTCCAGAACTACAGTTAGTCACTGCTGATATTGGCAGTGACCAGTCCTCTGACTAAGGTAAGGAGGTGTGGCTCACCTTTTAGAAACTGTGGTTCCTCTTCGGCAGGAACAGCAAAGAAATGCGCCTCCCAGGATACCCAAACAGGCACCACCCCAGCCTATGTAGAGTCCTGCCCCCAGCTCAAACCTGCAGGCAGAGAAAAAAGGTACTGTTCGAGAAATGTCTAGGATATTAAAAATCATAGTCTGAGTCTGCTACAGGGCTTAAATGTAGCTATGAAATTTGTAAGCTCTGTCTATGAGAAATATACAACCAAATAAATCAATTCATTCATGTAAATTAATGAAGTACTGAAAGACAAGTAAATGAAATAGGTAAATAGTAAATAGATAAAGCCTCAGAAACTTACTTAGTGCCTCCATAGAAGGGGTCATAGAACTCTTTAACAACCTGGGAGGCATACCATGACGTAGCCACCAAACAAGTCAAACCTAGATGAAGAGTCAAAAAAGTCATTTTTAGAACGTAATTCACAGCTTAAATGATGTGATTCTTGTGTGTGGCTGTTAATAAGTTAATTTCTTAAAAGACTGTCCTGAAATTAGTCTCTGGTTTGGAAATCCTTACATCCCAACTGTGTTTATCTTCCATTCTTTAATTCCAAAAATACCTTAACAATATAAGACTTAAATAGTCTAGATGCAATGAGTTGAACTAGGAATAGAACAGCAGTACGATTTAGAGCAGGCTAACGAAGGCACGGTTTTGCGGACTCACAAATTTGTGAATAACTCGAACTTTTGAGGTCACATGAAAGATTATATATTTATTCCTTTGTTGGTCACCAATAGAAACTTCATGAGATTTTAACTGTTTAACTGTAAGTTTAACACTTAAATATTATAGTACCAGCATAGAACGTGGTACCGCATGTCCAGGTACATTCATGAACACACAGGGTGTAAATGTGCAGATCTCCTTAGGTTTATACAGTATGTAGTGTTATGCTCATGGCTGGGTGGGAATAGATTGACAGACCCGACAGGCACCCATAGCTGTCACTTCTGATTCTAAAGTACATTGTGTGCAGGTCTAGGTTCTCAGCTTAGGGCAAATGGCTGCTGCTCACCTGCAGTTATGAAGAGACTTCCCCCCACCAAAGCAATCTTTCCCTTGGCTTGTTCGCTGGAACTGCCAATCTTGGTGCACTTCAGTCCCATCATTGACACGATTACAGCAACCAGACCCAGGACCAGAGAAATGATCATCAGCGCCCGGCATCCCTGGATATAAGCTGAAAACAAGACAGCCAAAGTAAAAGACAACAAAGATGAGTGGAACTGCTTAGCCTACAGGGAGCATTTGGGTGGGTCTATTTGGATAACGTGGTAGTTGCATCAGACTGACACTACATTAATGTACCTTTTTTATGCTTACAGTCTTTTTGCTTAGTGTTTTTTCACCAAGTCCTTAAACATGGACCAATGTCCTATCGCAGGTGAAATGCTTGAAAATCTTGTTTTTGTGTGTTAGAGGCCATGTACATTTGTCAAAGTTATACAGAGTGGCACTGCATGTTTTTTTGTTTTTCAAACTAATTCTTGTTAACAAGGATATTTCTAAATTATGGAATAAAAGCATCACATCAGCACTTTGAGTGGAGCAAACTCTTTAAAAAAATCCCTTTTTGACTAATTCTGATTAATTCCAAATCCAACGGAAAGGATTCAATTTAAAGAATTCAAAGAACAATTACCTGCTAACCTGGCTTAACCTGCTTTGTAGGCATCACCCCCAAAAGCAGTGCTATTCAGAGATTCCACAAAGGAATTGCATTCAGGCCAAGTGACAGACCTTCGTTGTAACTAAACCTATTTATGGAGCATAGCCATACCCTCTAATAAACAAAAAACAAAAAAATAAAAAGAAAATAATTTACGAAAAAATAAATTGCCAGTTTTTTTCCCACATTACTTCAAATCCAGGGAAGATGCAGATCCATGTTAGCAGACACAGATAAAGACACAATTATATGCAGGGTGTTGCCCTGCAGGTCTATGTCAAGACTGTATTAAACTGAGCCCTCAGAATTCATTAACTGAATTACTCAGAGTTCTAAGTACTGCATGGCCATCACACGTGGGTAGCAAAAACCATTCACTGGTGCCCTATGTCCACAGACACCTCTGTCATAAAAGCTTCAGTTTCCAGGATCTCAGACATTGGCAGAGCAATGTAAGGCACGTTGTCTTTCCTGGAACTGCACTTTATGGTCCATGGGAAAAACTCAATTAATTTAGTTTCTCATAGTAATACTGTAAGTCAATCTCATAAAACAAAGGCAGCAGTGCACTTTAGGTAACTGCTAGTTAAAAATGGATCACAGTATTCTGCCTTAGACCACACTGTGGAGATGATATAACTATAGGAGGCTTTGAGGGCTCATTCTAGGGGGTACTGCAGGGTGTGATTTCAAATCCCAGGTGGGGTACACCTCTGTTGTACCTTTAAACTAGTGCCTTAGACCAGTGTTTCAGTACAATGCCCAGCTGCATAAATGGGTGCCAATGCACGTTGCTTTGGCTGACAACACCAGCAAAATAAAAATATATTTGAACAAATTACATAAGGCAGGTGCTATGAAACTGATATTTGCTTATCCTGTCATCATTCTGCAATGTCAGAAAGAAAGGGCTTCTTCAAAAAAATATATTTTCTCTCTCTAGCCAGGAGCACCTGAATGTAACATGAGATTTAAAACATTACATCTGTATGTCATAAGTTCCTAAATTGTACACACTTAAAATTTAAGTATCCTATATTGTTTTTGGGACATACTTATCAAAACTAATGTTTTAGCTTTTAATAAGCTGTTTAAGTGCCCTGGCTAGCTCTGCTGGTAGAGCATGACACTCATAATCTCAGGGCAGTGGGTCTGTGTCTCACGGTGGGTGCCAGGTCCTCCATGTTGGAGGTTGGGCACGAGGCTGACAACCGTTTCCTGTAAAAACCCAATGTTACGTTAACAGCAAAGTGATGTTGCTGCCCCTGTGTGCCTGAAGGCATAAGAGGCAAACATCCATAAGCTGTTTAAAATGCACATCTAATCAAAGATTTAAGCATTTGTCTCCTTTTCTCTTCCTCACATTTTTTAAAAGCTTTGAACAAAAACAAATTTTATCTATCCACTGTAGGAAGAACCCAAAGTCAACTTTTAAAGCTTGCTGGCTATCTTACCACAGCATTAACAAAGCTTCCATTTTATCATCGATATATATTTCACTCATGAAAATTCTTGGTAGCTCCAGTCCCGCCAATTACTCTGAAAAGGTGTCATATATATTTCACTTTTGCCTTACTTTGAAATGTTAAATTTAAACATTACTTCAAAAAGTCCTAAATAAAACATGTTGTATTATGATCAATGAGTTATTATTATCATCAAAGTCTGAATGCATGGATTTTTCACTGCAAACTGCAATCTTAACAAATACTTGTCAATGAAGCACATTATTGTGTTATTAAATCACACATTATTTTGCTGTTTCTGTGAGGTTGTAGTGTGTATCAGATATCATGGATGGAGTTGTAGTGGCTACAACTTTCACAGAAACTTAATAGAAATGTATTAAGATATTAGCAATCCACAAATTAACACATCCTCAAAATATTCAGCAGATACTGAGAAAATGAACAGGTTTGTTTGGTAAATAAAGGTTTTAAAAAGCTTCATGTATTTCATACTACCTTGCAAATGAAAGACCCTTGGGTTGCTAAAATAAACTTCAGCTTTCTACCGTTATCTAAGTGCTATCGACTTCATTGCACATCTTCACTCCAAAACAGGTTTACAATACATGTCTGTTATCCAACATTTCACTGTTAATCGGCTCAACAAGTCTACAACATTAGAAGAATGGCATTGTCAAAAGTGGCATTATAAGTAGTGCAGTGTTTGTCATAACATTTACAAAATCAGATGAAGAACTGACCCTGTTTGTTACCCGAAAGATAAAGCACTTTCCAAGTTTTAATTCTGCCTTTCTCAGGATTACAGAAAGATTTATAGTGGCAAGTCTAGATGGTGTCCTACTGACTGGTGGAATGGAAGTTTATACGTTGCCGACAGGCTTTAAAAGAAAAAATGATCAATGAATGCTTTAATTGCAAAAATTGTAGTGGTACAATATTGAATAAGTCAATATTAAGATTTCTTGTTGTTTCCTAAATTCATTGTGGATCACCGGGACTCAACACGAGCTGGGGTAAAGGAGCTGTGAAATAAAAGCAAGGAGTGAGACAAACTCAATAGCACTTTTCTTTGAGAGCCCGATCTTGGGTGGGTTTGCATATCTCTCTACCAGAAGCTGCCTCACCCAGTCATAAAGACAGAAGGAAGTGAAACTGAGAACTAGCACCCAAAGGCTTGGCAAACTTTCTGTTCGCCATATTGCCACCTTATACCTGAAAGAAAAATTGTTGAGTTCAACTCCCAAGATGGATTTTATAAGGCTGCATCATTCCTTTGCCAAACCATTCTGTGTCTATTGAAGACAAATGTTGTTGTTTTTTTCCATTCTTGTGTGTGCCATATTTAAAAGATCGCCCAGTAGAGCAACATCAAGAAACACGGCTCCTCAGCTTGGTATGCTGAATTTTTTTTATGGTACCTCCTTGTTTCTGTTAATACACAAAGGACTGTCTAGAAAAGCAAATGAAGGTTCTACCTCCTCTGCTGCTCTTGAACAATTACAGACACGAGCGCTTGGCCTTGTGCTCAGGATACCCACCAGGCAAAGTCATCATTGACATGAAGTCCCTGCAGTTCTTGACGCTTGTGCTGTCCTCAACACAAGCCATCCAGAGGTTTTCGTACTGCTTGTTGAAGATGTTGGCGCTGCCAGCGTACGAGGACACTTTCCAGTAGTCGTTGGACAGACTGACTCCGGTGAGGAGCCAGCATGCTATACAGAGCAAGAACCCCGACAGCTCTAATGCGGTTGACATGATCGCTGTCCACAATATTTCAAATTTTGAAAAAAAAAGACTAAAAAGGAGAGATCAGACAGGTACACAAATATTTGATGAAAAAAAATAGAGGGAGAAATCCACAGCTCAAGATGCTCCCACTGTCCTTTCCCTGTGTCCTTAAGCTCTGATGTCCGGCCTGTAACTGTACTGTAACTGCGCTCTTTGCTCTGAAGCTATAAAATTATAAGAGTCTCTCCTCCCCTTTCATTTTACAAGGAGTGGCTTCAGCGTCATGGCCTTGACTGATCTTTATGAAGAGGTTGTATATTTTATGGCGAAAGTTGATGACAACATCCTTTTTACATTATTTACTTTTGAATAAACTAAAACAAGGAAGCTGGGGAGGCCAAGGTCCCTTTTTCACCTCATAGATACAAACACAAACTCACACATATACCCTTTTTTGGAAACTGATACTTAGAATGTGAAATCTCGTCAGCAACCAGTTAAGACATAAACGGGATTGCACATGCTAAAAGGCTAAAATTGCTCAATGCTTTGCCAGTTCACAATATTGTGGGTCTTGATCACTACAGGTTCTGTACTGACAGTATCCGCCCAGATTCAACAAGAAACACCAGGTTTTTTTTTACAAGGTAAAAGCAAACAGGGAGCAAGTGCTGAGAGCTATGGGAAATATTTAATAACTTCAAAGGAACAGTGGATGATCTGTTGAGTGCACAAAGGGAACCAAGCTTCTCAAAAATTCACGGGATCAATAGTCCATACCTTAGCTTTTCTAAGGTTTCTGAAGTTTCTAGCTGAGCTAGATATCACAAGATGTTTATGTATTTCTGCGTAGTGGAGCCTGCAAAAGCAGGTGGCATTCAAGTGAATCAATGCTTCCCAATTTTAAACCAATGGATGAGGCCAGATAAGTTCAATTCCTAGTTGTGTGTTGCAGAAAGGGTATGGTTATACAGTGGTGGCACGGTGTCTGGCAGCGCTGAGGTCCTGGGTCAGTTCTGGGGTTGCTATCTGCATGGAGCTGTACGTTCTCCCCATTTTTGTGTGGATTTCCATCCAGGTGATCTGGTTTCCTCTCACAGTCCACAGGCATACTGGTAGGTTCATTGGCTTCTGGAACAATTGCCCTGGATGTGAGTGTATCTTCCCTGCAATAGACTGGCATCGCATCAAGGGTGTATCCTGCCTTGTGCCTGTTGTTTGTAGGGATAGGCTCCCACTCCTCCATGGTCCAGAACCCTTGGGCCCTTGTGTAAAATTTAGGGGTGGTTCAGCCTGTGTCTGGATGAGGCCTTTGTAACTGAAGTCCAATTATGTAACAGTAGAGGTTGGCTATAACATATAATAATGACTCTGTTACTCTTTCACTTCCATTGTGACACTAGGAGGGGTGGATACTGTAGTGAAAGAGCCTGGGTGACACATTATAATAAAATGAATGGAAATCTGACGATCAGCTCTTTAATTATCCTATGGAATCCAGTAAGTGACAAGCACAAGTGAAATCCCAGGCCATGCATCTATTTGAATGAATGAGGTGACAAGCACAGGAACCACCAGTGTGCATCCAGGTCGCAGATGAAAACTGCACCACTTCAAAATGGCCTAAAACCTACTGGCTTAAATACTTAAAATGGGATGAAAAGTCTGAAAAGACAGCACACCTGCTGGAGAGAAACCCGAACACTCTCTCTAGAGTTAGCAAGTAATAGGATATCTATGTTTTTCAGATAGAGTCCATTTACAGCTGGATGTGTAATATGCAATCAGTTTATTGGCAGTTTTACCCTCAAGCTTCAGGGGACTCAGAAACTGTAGCCATGTTTGTGAGAGTGAGCAACATGAATCACAGGGCAATAGAGAGAGGGAGTTGACACTGTTCAGATGAGACAGAATTTGGGAATCTGCCATACATGTAATCATGATTTCAGCCCAAACAGCCACAACAATGCTGGGAATACCAGTGTTACCTCAGTCAAAACTGCACTATGAAACACTGGTTGGCACACTTTCATGATAAAGAAAAACATGCTTTGAAATTAATCTACTTCCCGCCTGTCAAGTTTTTGCTTTGCTGAAAAAAAGCATCATCACTTAATCTAAACTAATGTGAGGTGACCCTATTCTTTTTAAGCAGCGTTTTGGATTTTTCAATTTATGCCAACCCACTCACGAGTCACCAAAATGTTATTTGCCTGTCTCTTCCCAGTTTGTGGAATATTTGAAATAATACAGTACAGACAGTGTTCCTACTGAAAGTTATAATGCATGGATATATCCTCAACTCTGAGTTCAACTCCACTGCTGCTCTTGCTGAACTTAGTAAATGTTTTACTAATGTTCTGGTAATCACATTTGTAGCAGTAGAAAATTCCTGAATTACCCAACTTTGGTCATTTTATTTTGCTATAAAATAACATGATTAAAAATAATCAAATTGTTTTTCCAAAAGAAGCTTCTAATTTTAAAAGTATAACTCAAGAAAAAAATTATTACTAGTTATTAGAAAACTTGTTAAAATAATATAGTTCTAATAATTAATTCTGAAAACAACACATTTTAAACCCTTGATTATAACACTTGGACTGGTTTATGCTTTTTTAAAATAATGTAACCTAAAACCAAATGGCCATAAATACAAACTGTGTATATCTACCATGTTCTATTAGAAGTGTTACCACTCTGTCATCTTGTCAGATTTCAGAAGCAAAGAATAACAATAATAATAAAGAATAACAAGAACATTGTCAGTAATGGGACGGGAGATTACAAAGGGAAACCAAAGTTCTCCAAGCGGTGTTGGTAGACCTGTAGGTGGCACATTTCCACACCAGTAATGGTGATCTATCTGAGACTAAAAGCACTTTTTGATCCTTTGGGACAGAAGGCACTGTTGAAACTTAAAAATAATAATAATAAACAGTGAGGTAGCCAGAGCACCCTGCAAAAACCCACATGAACCCTCGTTTGTTTGGAAACTATGGGACAATCAGTTTAACACATTCAATGTCAGTTTCTAAAACCGCATGTCTCAATACATATAAATATTGTCAACCACAAAACTATTAAAACCTAGGATTTAATTTCTCTTTGAAATATTAAAAATACAAAGTGCAAATTGCCCTCTGAAACCTTGGAGAGTCCAGTGGATAAGGAAACAACAACAGCTTACTGGAAAGGGCATTTGATAGAATGGTTCAGTAGAGAACATCTTTCTCAGACACACTGTATCCTCATCTGTAACTTTGATGCCTCACACTGGCATCCAAGTCATCTCACAAATGAGCTCATTTACTTACTGGCCCATATGTGAGGAAGGGCACATTAACAATAACATGTTGAGCTTGTGCAGGACATGTGGTTTGTTCCACCAAATTCTGAAATATCAGTAGCTCCCGCCAAGCCTGTCTTTCCAGCACAATGATATTCCATTCCATTCAATTAATCCATTGATTTTCCAACCACTTTATCCAACACAGGGTTGTGGGGAAGCTGGAGCCCATCCCAGCAAGAAAGGGGAACAAGACAGGATACACCCATCAATTCAATTCAAATCAAATCAATTCAATTCAACGTAAATTTGTTTAACAGCGTCACATCCAACACAACAATACAAAACCAAAAACAGACAAAGATCAGGAACAAAGCAGACAATACAGCAGTAATTCCGGAGATAAGGGAGTTATTTTACATTGTTTGAGAGTGAGATTGCAGGTGAGAAAAAGATTTTCTGAGTTTATTACTTTTACACCTGGGGAGACAGAGGCATATCCCTGATAGGAGTAGTGGAAATTCACACCCTATTTTCCCAACAGTGGAATTTTCCCAACCTATTTTAATTAACATTACCAATGATTCAGCTGAAGCTTTGGTAAGAGGAAAGGTGATTGAACTGCACATTTCCATAGCTCCACCGGCTGTCAGGAGGACTGAGGTCTGTGGACGAATGTGATGGAAGTCAGTCTCACTCCTCAAGACAACCATCACTCATTTCTTTCCTTACCCAGTCAATCAGTTCACTTGCCAAGGGGTCCTAATATTTTGGCCACCGGGTGGTTTGTTCCATACATTATCATTCATGCAACACATTTAATGAACAGTCTTCCCAGTAAACTTTATCTTTAAGTCAGAATTTTTGCCACTCATATTCATACCAAAGAGGTAGAATTTTCAAAGGAAGACTTCTGAGAATGTTACACAGAACATGATGTTTTGAGAATGATACTCAGCTCACATACTGTCAAGAATCATGCTAATTAAATCATTTTGTAAAACTGACAGTTACCCTTGACTTTATTATGTATCACAAGCACAGCAATGCATCACCCAGCTTGTATTGAAAATAGAAGTGAAACATTTGTTTAATAAAAGCAGGGAAATGCCTTTCTTAGGAGGTTGCAAAAGGTGTGAGTGTGTAGGCACTTACCATCCAAGCCCAGCACAGTGGGGAACTTCTTGCACTGGATGGACCCCAGTGCAGTAGCAGCACATTGCATCCACAGGCCCTCAAACACCCAGTTGGCCGTGATCACAGAGTCGACCTTGGTGGACACCTTCCAGGTCTGCGAGCTGGTAGCGACAGTGTCCAGGATCCAGCCCAGCACTCCCATGACCAGCCCAAGGATCTGAAGTGCCACCACAGCCATGAGCTCATACGTTCTCAGTGGCGCAGCTCAAGCGTTTGGGGGAGATCCTGTGGAGACGACAGGCTGCACAGTGAGGGTGAGATGATGCACTGCACACATTGGAACTATGGGACACACTACCACTGTACAGTAGGTGGGTTCTATTGGTTTTGAGAAGAAGATACACATTCCAGGCCTGGCAGAAGGGCACTGCCCAGATTATCAAGCACCTGCTCTGTGCAGGAACCCCCAGGCCCACAAATGAACGATGTGTTCCCTTGCTTGAGTGACAGAGGCTTGAACATTTTTAGATATCAGTTGCAATGATGAGGTACCCAGACTGAGTCCAATACTGTGAAACTGCTCCCACAGGCTCTACAGTATGTTGCACAGGTGAAACTGTTTCAACAGAAGAATCGACTCTTCTGTAGTTGTGTGAGTTAACATCCATCCATTACAAAAGGAGAGCCTGTATCTGTGTCTATATACCTGAACATAGTTAAGCTTAACTATTCCAATTTTAGCTCTAATCCTACAAATGACAAGAAGCCTTTTCTTAAACGTATTCAGCTAAGTATTAATGTGTTCTGTGTGTATAATTTTGAAAGCAGAAAACTGACACAGACAATTTGTTTATATAGTATATGTACTTTGGACAGCTTTTCGAAATAAAAAAATAGTCTTCCTAAAAACAACTTTACTTGCTCCTGTGTTATATGTCAAATGTACCATGTCCCCTGTTATTTTAAAATAAAAACGTGTGGATTCATTATAAAAATCCTTGTGAAAAATATTCTCAGTGCTACAGTATATACAGTAAATGTTTTCAGTAAAACCCTTCTAAATGTCTTGAACTGCTTAATATAGAGCGGAATCAATCTCTTGGCATCACTTTGAACACCTGGAACACTTTATTTACTTTAACCAGTTTATTTAATGTAGAAAAAAGACAATATCAAGCAAGAAGAAAATAATTTAAAGATTTTTAATACTTACCTGTGCAAGTAATTATAGTAGAACCAGCTTGAAAAGTAGAATGCTAAGGAGTGACACAACCATCAAAGCTGGAACAGTCAGATGTCGATAGTGAATTCTGCAGCGATGCCTCTGATCCCTCTGAGCAAATATTTCATGATCTCTGGAGGGCCAGTGAACTCTTCAGATTTACCAGCTGGGACAACTGACCATGTGCCTCTATACCTATGACGGTCTCCCTCCCCTCCTCTTTTGAGTCGTTAATTTGAAAGGAAACTCAATTGTCACCTTTAAAAAAAATTATTCAAGATGCTGTGTGATGTTGCACTCAGAACCTTAACCCAGGCTGTTGAAATACATTAACTTGTACCTTTTTGATTGAAACCAGAAAAAACGGATTCGATGGTGAATGTTTTATAATTATACATAATATCTGCACAGCTTGCTACACAAGTGCCACATTAAATAATATAAGGGTTGTTACATTAATACATTAAAATCCCACTGCAACTGTGGTTGTTTATCTTTGGAGTAAACTTATCTTAAGGTGGTTGAGTGTTAGAGTCATGCCACAGCCAGTTGTTTTTGACTGCTACAGTCAGAATGACAGGCTGAAACCTAACTGCAGGACCTGGATTTCTTCACCAGTAAAGCTGACTAGGAGGCCTGCAGCAGTGAGGCTGACTGGGCAGCTGGGAGCAGTGAGGCTGACTGGGAGGCCTGGAGCAGTGAGGCTGACTGGGAGGCCTGGAGCAGTAGGCTGACTGGGAGGCCTGCAGCAGTGAGGCTGACTGAGCAGCTGGGAGCAGTAGGCTGACTGGGAGGCCTGCAGCAGTGAGGCTGACTGAGCAGCTGGGAGCAGTGAGGCTGACTGGGAGGCCTGGAGTAGTGAGGTTGACTGGGAAGTTGACAATCCTGACTGTGGGTGAAGATCAGGAAGCCAAAGGAAAGCAGTGATCTGAGATTTGACATCTCGCAAAGGGAACTGCTCTGCTCTAGGTATCTTCATGTCAGAGCACTGATCCAGTGGGGTTTTGGGACTTAAATGTGCCTATTGCTACTGGAGGGAATGATTGGATGATGGGTCCCTGATTGAAAGGGAGCTGGATGAACAGACAGGTGGTCCTCACGGCTTCGGGTGCAATGCTCTGGGCAACCACAGGTTGCAACCCTGTCTGAGCTTGACAATTGTGTGTAAGAACTACAGTATGCCAGGTTGAGAAGACAGCATCATTCTTCAAAGAATTTTAAGGTTCTCGGATGTTATCACCAATTATGTTTTTTTCATTCTTAAAGAAAAATGAATTTAAAGTAAAAGAAAATTGTGAAAAAGTCAATATTTTGGATTTATAGAAGTAATATTATATCATGGCACTGAACAACCAATGTTTCTTGGCTATTCGTAGTTTTAATGACTGGTGAATTATTGATCAACATTATTAATTTATAGGCCAGGCGGGATTATGAGGTTAGGATCATACTGTTCTGCCAGTGGGTGAACTATAAAACTAATGCCTCAATGTGACTGGCAACCATTTAAATATTAAATATCCCAGTTTAGTGTTTCCTCTGTAAAACATAAAATTAGTCAGTTTCCCATTCTCCAAATCTGCTTAGAGATTCAAATGCTTTGCCATAGCTACTGTATTTAATTTATTTCCCCATGGATATGGTCATTAAACAGAACCACATTTTGATGTAGACTTGTAATTGAAGGGTATGCTTTCTGCAATTAAATCAGCTACAGTAAAGATAGATAATACTTTATTAATCCCATAGGGAAATTGACGTGTTACAGCAGTCCAGCCCAAGACAAGCAAAAACAGACATCAGAATAGTTATAAAACAAAAGAAAACAAAATAAATAAATAAAAAAAATACATAGGTGTGTGCAAAATGTGATGATCATAGTCACTGTAAAAACAATAAAATATGTGCACAATGTGCATAGGTTTATACAGACTGATTGTCCAAAAAGTACAATGGAGCAAACATGCTGTCCATAGACAAGCAAATGAAGGGCTAACAGTCCTAGCCTAGGGCAGCGTTATACACCCTGACAGTCACCGAGAGGAAAGACCTGCAGAAACGTTCCCTTGAACACCGTAGCTGGAGCAGTCTGTTGCTAAAAGTGCTCCGCTGCCCAGTAACAGTCCCATGAAGTGGTTGAGAGGTGTTGTTCATGATGGCTGTGAGCTTGGTCAGCATTCTCCTCTCAGCCACCACCTCCATGGTGTTGTATGTTGTTGTATACAGTTATGATCCTAAAGAGAAAAGATTATTAAGAAATGTTTGGCAGGTGTTGTAAAAGCAGAAGGCTAACATCCAAGATACTATATCTGATAATATCCTAGCCAAGAAACAATTATATTATAGCCAATTGTTATTAGAAAGGATCCTACTGTTGTTGTATTGTTATTTTAACAAAAATGCATATTTCACATTTTTTGCAGGTGTGAAGAGTGCTGAAGAAGGTTTAAGACTACAACTGTCACGATTTTGACATTGCAAATGCATCTGGCTGGATCTCAATCCAAACTAATTAAAAAAAAACTTAGTTTAGTAAATTCTTCCTCCTTGCTTAGACGGCCATTCTGTTTTCTGGATTACTAGTGTAGAAAATTATCAATTGTAACTTGTAACACTGCAAAGTGTTAAATTAAAAATACATTTACAAGCAGCAACACAATCTGTATGAAAGCAGAATACAAAAGTAGCACAGTCTATATCACAGTTTGTGCTACAACGTTCTCTCCTTAACCCCTCCCAGGGATACAAACATTTATTGTTGTAACGGTTAGTGGACTTTGGCAGATACTGCACATCAAGAGAAACAGCTCTGTTCATATTGTACCATTAATGAATGACTTATTGTGTTAACATAAAGGTTAACATTAGGAAAACCAATAACATATCAGGGACACCCATAACACATGTATTGCAACTTATTTTCTGAAACACAGGATGTTGACTGTTGGTAAATTCCAGATTGTGTACTTTATTACTTATACCGTAAATATGCTTGTTGATTAATAGTCTTATACAGTATATATAAGGTCATGAAAATATCTCAGAAAAACTCTTTACTGCAAAATAAAATGGAAATAACTTCAAAAACAAGAACCAAAGAGCCAGAGAGCCAGCTCAGGTTCGTTTATTACAGAAGACAAGACTATGTAATGACTTTATGAGTCAGTGGGCTGGCATTGGGAGCTTATGAAAAAGGTCAAAGTCTGCTATGTGTTCTAATGCCAGCAGGAAACTCTTCATATTTAGTGGAGGAAATTACATTTCAGCCCACATTAACTGGAAGTGGTCTGACGGGAAGTCCCTACATATAGCTCCAGAGGATTATTGATCCTTCACTAATCAATCTTGGTGGCTCCTGTCTGTGTAAATGGAAATGAAGGGTCTCTGGTCAGCATTGACAATCCACAGTCTATTTCCCTTTCACATTTGCATGAATATGGAGAGATGCAAAACATATAGATCTATGTCAGAAACACCTTGAAAAGTGGAACTTTGTGTTAGATCAGAAGTATAGACATGCCACAAAGCTTCAAAGGTTTATGCTCTCCATGTCCTATATCATTGAGGATCCAGGAACAGATCATTACATTCGGGAATGTATCGATCCTTTCTGTAACCACAGAGTGCCGTCCTCCTTGTAGAAGAGCTCTTCTATGGGCAGGTCACATACTGTATACACCATCTGCCATGAAAGCTTATCAGCTATCAGTGGACATTGCACTTTGCTCTGAAAGGGCTGCTCTCCCTTGATACTAGTGACTCAAGCAAAAGTAAATGATTGTCTATTTTAAATATGCCCATGCTGTCATTTATGACTTTTAGAAGTCACATGAAACCGCATTATCAGTCCGTCAGTATCCATTGCATTAGAGTATCTGTTCAAGGTAATGGCCAAGTCAAAAGGTTTTCTTTAATAGTTAGGCTACAGCTGTCCAGTACAATTAAATATAAACTACAATCACCAAATCTCAGAAACTATATTACCCAAAGTTTACAATCCAAAAATTCAAAGCTGGATTGGAAGTGCTTTCTGAAATGTACAGTTTACAAAATGTACAAGAACTTGAAAGTCTGATCTCACTCAGTATAGATCAGAAACACACAATGAAGTGAACCTGTTTCTCTGAGTTTCTAAGAGCAGACTGAGCGAAACATAATATCTAATTAACAGTACAGTACTTTATAAGCTGCATTCATATTTAAGTTAAATACATCAATAGATTAAAGTTCAGAGAAAGACTCCAAAATTAAGCTATTTTGTATTTTTGTTAAAAAACGAAAATGTGAAAGTAATTAGCATTAGCAGTCAAGCACTAACATCTTTTGGAGTCATTGTTGGTAGCAAGAACTCCAGTTTTTACCACTCTTGAATGGTCATGGGTTTTTTAAGTATTAAACTATTGTTCTCAGAAATGTGTGAAATGAACTTGGTGCGTTCTAGAAGAAGAGCTAGATAGAACCTTTTCAAAGAAAGAAAACCTTTCAGGCAAACCCTCTAACTGGAGCTGCTATACAAGGGGAAATCCTCCACAGAACTTTAGTTTTTTGGAAAATTACATTCTAGAAATTCAAAAAAGTCATTTAAGAGGGTAGCTGCGTCAGCATGCGTAGGCTGCAGATGAACAAGTAATAGGTTTATTCCATGCTTAAAAGAGAAGAAACATGGAAGAAAACCTATTACTTGTTCCATTCAAAAAAGTCTCTGAGCCTGTCACATGATGGAGGTCAGAGAATTTCCCTTGTGGCTTGCTTCACCAGTCAAGCTGTGTAATTGTGTACAGAGCTGTGTATTCCCTGTGCCTTTTAATTTCTGATTGGCCCTTCTCAAAAATGTTTTTGTGAGATGAAAAACTCTTACTGTATATAATATGTTTTTTGTTTGCTGGTCTGTATAACATTTACCTGTAGTCAAAGTCCAACACTTTTCATATAAAAAAGATATTTGTACTTTTGTAGATGTATTTTAGCATATTTCATCCTAAATTGAAGGCAGGTTTGTGGAGACAGAGAAGCATTTTTCAGGGAGCATTTGGGTAAGTAAAAACTTTACACTTACCTATTGAATAAGCACCATCTGGTGGTGAAGACACAATAACAGTAAAAGCTTCCATATTGGTTGACAGAAAGATAATGTAAAATACATGACAGGTCTGAAAACTTTTTTCTATCTGTGAAGAAAGGTAGAGACTAAAAGCATTTTTTGTTTTTAGTATTTTATCCGGTATCAGAAAGCCACTTAGCCACTGATAGGATTTATGGTCATCCTGAAGTCCTACACCCTGGATGAAATTTTACTCCAATACAACATACAGATGTTAAGTAAGCTATCCAGAATGTCTCTGCAAAGTGGGTGGAAACTGGAGGTCCCAGGGAGCATGCAGACCCCACACAGAAGGATGGGGATACACAGGGAAACACCCTGGATAGAATGCCAGTCCATTGCAAGTCAACCACAGACAAAAAAAGCTTCCCAAAAAATAATTATCCAATAATCTTTGGACTGTGGGAGGAAAGCCACACAAACATGGAGAGAACATACAAACTCCACACAGACAGGACCACAGAAATTGAACCCAGGGCCCCAGTGCTGCAAGGCAGCAATGCTAACCATTGATCCACCATGCCAACAAAGTATTGTACAGTAATTGGTAATACCCTATCAGACGACAATTACAGAATGTTCCTAAAGCCAAAAACTGTGACCCGCAGCAGTGGAATCAAATGATAGAAGAGCTGCTTAACTTTGACCATTGTTTGAATTCTCTTGGTTAATGTCGAGCAAAGCATTGCAAGATTGGGGCTTTTCAGAATTCTTCAGCTTTCATGTCCCCATACCACACATTGCTGAAAAGCAAAAAATGAGGTTGCTCTTCTTTTCACAGGCCAGACAGCTGGATTCATTCACTTGTCTTTCCATCCTTGCTCCTTCTCTCATTCCACTCTTACGATTATTATGATCGTCCTGATTATCCTCCCAGGCATGTGCCATCTTGCGTTTTTGTTATTGGCAATTCAATATCGAAGCTCCCTGCAAGCACTGAGAGAAAGTGGTTTTAGCAGGAACTACATTGTATTTTTTAAATAGGCAACAGATTGAATAGGAAGATTTCAGTGCTTAGCGCCACCTGACAATTCACAGCAGGATAATGACTACATTCTTCTAGAAAGAACTGTGTGCTGTCAAGAAACATCATTCTTTTTTCTTAGGGAAAACTTAAAAACAGTACAAATGTTGCCACAAAGAGGCTTATCTTGATAAGTCGGTAGTCATACAGTATGCTTTATTTATGCCGAGTAAACATTTTAAGACCAGAGAGGAAGATATGGCTTACTGTAATAGGAAAGAATAATTAAACATAACAATAATGAGGAAACCTGCCTTTAACAGTCAGAAACTAAGAGTGGAAGCTGGATTTGTCTTGATGTAAAAAGCTTCTGACCCCGACTTGATCCCTAACCTGTTTTGCCTCACAGAATCCCCCTGTAGTTGTAACCCGACAAAAGATTCCCCATCCAGGTGGATGCTGGACATTGGTGGTAGTGGTGGGGATTCCCATTGCCTGTAAAGCGCTTTGAGTGGAAAGTCCAGAAAACTGCTATATAAGTGTAAGCAATTATTATTATTAACCAGAACTCTAACCTGGCTTTTCCTTTCACTAAAGGAGAGCAAACCTGCTTCTCCCTTCAGTCCAAAGACAATTATAACCCAACTGTTTTCCCTGTTCTAACTGATAAACCTTAAAGCAGGCTGACTAAATGATTAGACCTGTGTTCTCTTGGTATGTATAATGAGAACTGATCAAAGAGAGCCACTGCAGATACTACTCTACTACTTTCTCCACCTCTTGCAAATTCCTTTATTATTATTATTATTATTATTATTATTATTATTATTATTCGGGAGATTGTATTGCTGGTGCCCTGGGTTCAATTCCTGACCTGCTGTGCTATCAGTGTGGAGTTTTTATGTTCTCCCTGTGTTCACATGGGTTTCTACCAATTGCTCTAGTTTCCTCTCACACTCCAAAGACATACTGTTAAGTGCACTTGCTTCTGGTAAAACAGTGAGTGTGTGCGTGTTTTGTTTTGTATCTGGGTGTGCCCTGTGATGGACTTGCATCTCATCCAGGGTGTTTCCCTCCATGCTTGCTGGGATACTCTCCAGCTCCAATACTACTACTTTTGCTGCTACTACTCTGTTTCCTTCACCACAAGACCCCAGTCCATCACGTGTGTCTTGTGGGAAGATATGAGGAAACCGGAGCTCCTGAAATAAACACATGGAAACAGGCAAACTCCACGCAGTAACAAAAACATGAAATCGAGCACAAGAGCTGTGTGGCAGCAATACTAATCCCCACGCACTGGGTCAAGCCTACTGTAAACGCATGACTGATAAATCCTTTATTTGTTTTGTGGTAATTTTCTGAGTTGTGTATGACCATCACCTCCTGCCCTCTGCTGGGGGAAAGAGGTACTGTCACTGGTTTGACTGAGTGGCTCCACTGGGCTGGCTGTAGTAGCACTGATTTTTAGCTTTGAACATGGTTTGCCTCAATGGGAAAGTTGGGAATGGTGGGTCATTGTAAGGTTGGAGTAAAAAACATTTTTTTTGGGAGCCAGGAAAGGTCAGGAAGATTCAGGTCATTGAGGAAGGAACGTATTAATTTTGATTTCTTTATGCCTGTATTTCCCTGTCTCTCTGTCATTTTGTCTACTTCAATTAAATGACATCTGTTATCCACACCCACTTCATCCTATAGAAGGTTGTGATGAGGGAATTATATTAATAAAATTATCCACCATACTGTCTTATTGTAGACTGGACCTTAAGAGACTATATGAGTCATATCAACACTGTAGCCAGCAGCCATATCACCCTGCAACTCACAACTGGTAACCCACTGAAGCTAAGCA